CTTTCTTCTTCCTTCGCTCGCTCAAGCGAGTACACCGGTCGCTTGAGCGAAACATGACCCGAGAGTCCCCTTTTGTTTGAAGGATCCGTCGCTCAAGCGAGTACATCAGTCGCTTGAGCGAGAAATGACCCGGGAGTTTCCTTTGTTTGAAGCAATCGTCGCTCAAGCGAGAATACCAGTCGCTTGAGCGAGACTTGACCCGGGAGTCCCCTTTGTTTGAAGCATCCTTCGCTCAAGCGAGAACACTAGTAGCTTGAGCGAGACTTGACCCGGGAGTCCCCTTTGTTTGAAGCATCCTTCGCTCAAGCGAGAACACTAGTCGCTTGAGCGAGACTTGTCCCGGGAGTCCCCTTTGTTTGAAGCATCCGTCGCTCAAGCGAGTACACCGGTCGCTTGAGCGAGAAAGAACCCGAGAATCCCAAATTTTCCAGGTATCCTCGCTCAAGCGAAGTATTTTCGCTTGAGCGAATTTAGCAGGTTTTCCAGTTCGCCATTTTCGAATTCCAGATTTCAAATTTCTCAGTTTCAATCACCCAAATTAGTTCGAAACCAAAATTAAACCATAAACATTTTCAATTTAAGTTAAAAACAACACTTTTATTATATAATTCATCCTTAATTTCAAGAATTTCTAAAACTTTTAAACGGTGAACAGTTCATCAAAATCAGAAAACATTCTTCAAAATCAGACATTCTTCAAAATCATACATTCCAATAATTCATATCTCTACTCCTATTCCTTATTTACAGAGTACCAACAATTCAATTTCATATATTGAATGAATTAAACTTCCCCTTACTTGGTATGGTATTTCTACCGAAGCTTTCCCGCTTAATTCAGGTTCTCTCTCGTTTCACCAGATCCTGCACGAGTAGAGTCTCGTTGCTTGAAATTTAGACAATAGAAGAAGAAGGATGAGAGGAAAATTTTGATTCCTCTCCTCCCCCGCTTCAGTATTCATATATAAGAAAAAATTTTACTGTGCATGAGGAAAACTTCTTTACGAAGTTTTCTTACACAGTAATATTAATATAATATAAGACATACGTCACACACAACGTGATGCACAATGCGACAATGAATGAGTATACGCTCTTATTTAATTGAAAAAGTTATATGAAACCTTGAAGGTTAGAAAACGAAGAAAAATGTGATGAACAGCTGATAAATTGTGACAAATTTAAGCAATGCCACTTTTAATGTTTTTCTTTTCAAAGAGTTTTTAAATGATTTAAAAACAGATAGATATTTTATGCCAATGTCATAATTGTTAAACCAGTTACTGATGTTTTTTCTACATATTTATCTAAATTATAATGCTCAAAAAATAATCTAATTTTTTCACCTTTTGTTTTCTAACTTACTTTACCAAAGTGTTAGATTTCAATCTGGCGAAAAATATATATTACTAAAAACGAAATATGATTGATCGTGTTTATCCAAACATTATTTGGATTTTTTTTATAATTTTTATTTTTAAAATTTAATTATAGTTATTTGATTATTATTTTTTAATATATATAAATTTAATTCTTTATCAACTTTTTAGAATAAAAAGTTGATATTAAAATATTAAATTTAGATAAAAAAAACATGTATGATGTGGATTTAGTCATTTTTTATCATAATATAAAAATTATCACTAAATATTAAATTTTAGTACAAAAATATTAATATTATATATTTTAAAAAAATTAAATACTAATTTTATTGATTTTTTTTTAAAATCTGACAACACGTTAAAAGAAAAGTACAAATAATAGAATCATACTTTTTTTCTATTTTGTTTTTTCTTTGGAAACGGGAAACATTTGCAGTAGTAGGGTTAAGGATAAACTTTGGGGAAGCTTGGCATATTCTGGGCATAATTGTTTTGATATTAATAATAATAAATAATAATATTTAGGTTCCCTTTTTTTAATTTATCGATATATTTTAACGTATAATAATTTAAAAATAAATAATAATTTTACATAAAAATTATGAAACATCTTTTAAAAATAAATTTATAATGTAGGATAATTTAAAATGAACAATATGTATGATATAAAAATTGATATTAATAATAAATTTATGATATAAGATAATTTAAAATGAACAATATGTGTGATAAAAATTGATACTGATAATATAAATTATCTCAATATTATCACGTACTTTTATTAAGTATTGTTAATATTTATGAAACTTATCTCCTTCCAAAGATAACAATTCCCCAATTATTATGATTCCTCTTTATTCCATAAAAGCCCCACCGAGTTTAAAGTAAAACTTTCCACGGATGAGGCATGGATCATAGCTTAGATATGTTCTCATTTTTTTCTTCTTTTTATTCCAAGCAAGTCACACTCACCATACTACAATTTAGATGTAACATCTTACTTTTGTACCTTTGATACATGAATAACTTTTATCCTAAACCCTAATCTAAAGTGTTTGGATGTGGATGTGCATTGAACTTTTCTTACATCCGAACATTGACGAGGGTGGAGATTGATCGCCGTTGCAGTGAGATACAGACAAAGAACGGTTCCTGATAAGTTTCTACCGGAAGGGTCATATGAATGAACTGAAACACACCTGAAGCAGAGAGATCTAGAGGCTGTATATGTATAAGACTATACAGTTGAAAAATAACTTAAGAGAATTGATTGGTATTACCTATAATAAATGCATTTACTTTTCGGTAGTCTATCACATAAGAACTTCATAATTAAGCGTGACTTGAAAAAATTGTAGATTGGAAAAATTGTGGGATAGATGACCTTTTGGAAAGTTCTCAAAAAAATGAGTTGTGGGAATTGTTAACAATTCTGTACAAGCAACTAGGGTTTTATGATCTATCCTTTATTTTTAAAAGTTATATGATTAAATTTATTTATTTCAAAATTCAAATTAAATGTTTTCTTACCAAATTTGTGATGCAAAGTTAGAAAATGTTTAGCAATTCAAAATTATGGAGAGGTGTAAAATAGAAATAATAAAATGGATTAGTATGCAATATTCATCTTTTTCATATGTTAAAAATATTAAAAAATAATAGATGGTCTATCCGGATATATTATATATTTTAAAAAAGTAATATATTGATTATATAAAAATTTTATAAGTCTTTATTTATTAATTAATATTTATATTAAATAAAATTAAAAAATTATTGTATTTTATATTAAATTAATTAATTGAGTAGATATTATAATTTGTTATAGAAGTGAAAATCACATAGAGATGAATAATGTAATTTTTAATTTAAATTTATTCTAATTTTATATTTAACTTTACATTTTAAAATATTATTTTTTTAAAATTATTTTATTTTTTCTTAATTATATATAAAATTATTTATTATTTATTTTATTTTTTTATCTTTTTCAATTTTTCCAACCCATCAATTCATTATTTTTTTCATCTTTTACTCCTTTTTTATCTTTTTATTAAACTTGTTCAATTTTTTTAACCAATTTAATAAATATAAAATTAATTTTTTTAATATTCTACATCGTAATACTTAATATTATTTTATTTTTAAATTATTTTTATTAAAATTTGTTATGTGATATTTTTAAAATTTTATTATTATTTATCATATACTAAAATTTATTTTAATAAAATAATTATATTTTAAAGAATTAAAAAATTTAATAATTAAATTTTTTATTAATTTACACTAATTAAATAAAAATTAACTTATTAAATATTTATTATAAATTATATATTTCATATTTATTAACATTTTAAAATCACAACTTAAAAATAATTACCTTATACATAATATATTATTATTATAATAATAATAATAAGTATTTTATGGTTATATAAAAAATATTAATTATATATAAATATATATATTAATATAACATATAATAAATTAAAATATATATTTAATTAATAATAATTATAAAATTATAAATATTTATTTATATATAATAAATACATTAAAAATTAAAATTAATTTATTAGAAATATAATTATTTAAAAATAATATAAAACAATGATTAAAAATGAATAAAAAGAAAAGCTTAACCCATAAAAAAAAATCTTATTTTCTAAGTTATCAAATATTGGAGACGAAGACAAGTAAAAAAAAAATTCAGATCACCGATATAATAAAAATCAGATCACCGATATAATAACATGCATTGCTAACTATTTCATTCAAAAAAAATGAAAAGGAAAGGAAAATTAATCATTTTAATCTCTATTCAATCTAAACATTTGTATTCTTCAGCTGGTAATGAACATTACTAATTAATTAATCTTATTTAAAAAAAATGTATGAAATGATTGAATTCAGATTTTATTATTATTATATTATAATAAGAGATAAAAATTTGAATACAAAATCTCCAAAGAGAAATACAGACTAAACAATAAATGATACTAAGACACATTACTACCAATATAACATATATCAAAAAGTTATGATAACTATATTTTGAAAATAATTCTTTTCATACCGTAATTCTTTTAATTATTTTGTGCATTTTATTTTCTTAGGTTCTCAATTATTATTTTATATTAAAAAATTAAATTATTATAATATATTAAAATACATTAAATAATTACATAATATTTTATTAGTTTATATTTATAATTTTTTAAAAACTAAAAATATACTTTACCAATAATAATTATTAAAGAAATATTTTATTTTCTAAAATTAAAATTCAAAAAAATGAACAAACATATCTTAATTTTCAAATTTTAAAAAATATATAAAAAAAACTTTACTACAATAAAATATACAAATTAAAAACACATTTTCTCTTGAAAAAGAAGATACATTTCAAGAAGAGAGTATGCGTACAATGTAAATTATTAATTCTTAGCTTATTGCAAACTTGCAGATTAAGTAATGTATTTTCCCCTAACTATGATATCAACAACAAAAACAATAACAATCAACAGCACGTAAACACAGTCACAAACAGGCATAAAACACTTTCAGAAAAATAATTTATAAGTTTTTTGATAGTGTATGCAGTACGTCTTCAGTTCTTCAAGTGGATATAGAGCATTTAAGTTCCTTTTCTGAACCAAATGTGAGTCTGAACCGTTCATTCAAGTAGTCCCCACTACGAATTGGAGGGAATCTGCAGCAAACATTGAACAAGTTCATAGCAGCATTTTGTATATGTAAGCTTTTAATAAAGACCTCCACCAGGGGATAATCTTTGTCGGTTCTGTCACTTTTCTTTATGTGTTAGTATTTAGTGTCTATTTTTTAATGAATTTTCCTATGAGGAATTTTAAGACAAGATAATATGAAAGAATTGCTACCTATTAACTTGCATGTAAACTAATTTATATGAAAAAGTTTATTTTATTTTATTTATAAGAAAACCCGTTTATTCAGGTAGATTAAGACTTCAACTTTTCCTTCAAATTTATTTTTATCCACATTCAGCACAAAAGTATTTCAAAAAATGTGTCATTAGTACTTTTCTTTGTATTATCATTCAACTACCGTAAACAACTAGCTTCAGAGTTATATTTTTTTAATAATGTGAATATTTGAATGATAATATAAAAATATTTAAGTCAACTTTCTTTCCTTTTTTTTTTTTGTTTTTGTGAAACTCTTATTACTCAATTCTTAGTTTCAGTCTGACTAGTTGAAAATTTCCTAATTGGAGGGGGGGAAAAAATTCTACCTGGGAGGAGATGATTCACAACAGCAACTTTCAAAGCATTCCACCACACAGTCTGAAGGTGGATCGAAGAAGAATGCCGCCTGCAAAATTGGAAATCATTCATATTTTTCTGGAAATACACAAGCTAGAAGACATCATCAAAGTGCAGAAAGAAGGTGATTATTTTAAGTAAGGGGTAGAAAGAACATGATTCCCGCTATCTATCTATGACATCAGAAATTTTATTTTTTCCATTCTTTTAAGACGAAGACAAAAAACTTAAACATTAAGACTCTTTCAAAAGATATCATCAACATCTGATACAGTATTTCAGTGGATAAAGCACATCCTACCCCTAACTAACTGGTTCAGTAACATCCATGCTAAAATAAACTATTTTAAGTTCAAAATTCTATATACCCTTTACAGGGAAGTCATGTCGTGGCAGAGTATCAACTTGGTCAACCCAAAATGACAGATTATCCAGTTGTGTCATCTAGCCTTATACCATCTCCCAAAACCCATTTTCGTTTGAGGTAAATGCATACAAGTTAAAGAATATTTAACTAGTGTAAAATATATATTTATAGTAAATATTTTTATTCAATATAAAGTATAAACGTGATTTGTCATTTTTAAGTACTTTTTAAATAGGTTGCAGGTGTATAAAGATTAAATCTAATTATTTTAAATAGGTATATATACGAAAAAAATTGATGAAACTTAAAATTTGGAAAACATGAATAGCTTTGAAATAAAAGAAGAGAAATTAGTGCAATAAAGAATTTTTATACTATTTTCCAATTACAAATTGGCATGTATGGTATGTTTATGAACCTCTATAATAACTACTTTAAACATCTTGCCTATCATAATTTCTGATTACCTAATGAACTCTAACAGTATAGAAATTAAGCTCTAAAAAGGAAAAGAAGGTTAAAACAAATAATTTTGAAACAAAATTGGAGAAATCACAAAATATCCCTGTGTGTGTGAGAGAGACTGTGGAGGGCATGGTCGGTTCGGTGTCCCTGTGTCTAAAAACTCACTTCACCCACTTGTGGGATCACGCAAACATCTCTTTTACAATTCTAAGTCCAGTAATGAGTATTCCAATTCAATCAACAATCTAAACATAGTATATCAAGTGTGAAACATACTTCTTTTAACTTTGGATGAAGAGATATTTAAAGGTATAAACTCCATCTATTCTCTCCTACCCTTGAAATAAAACCATCATGACCATCATTCAAAGTCAAAAACAATAATAACACAATAAATAAACTGATGAAGTGTCTAGTAATTACAGAATAACGTTCTTTTCCTGTTGGCATAACCCTGTGAAGTGTTGACCTGCAACAGTAATGACAAAAACTGAGAATGATATGTACCAGTATGGCAGTAGACTATGATCTTACTTAATATATATAGAGATCGATTGAGAAGCTGCTCAATTATTCCTATTGGTAAAAAATAAAAGAAAAAATCTTGTTGGATATGGATACCTGTACAAACAATTTGTCCATCTCTCCATCAAGTCTCCAATGTTCACTATTAAGGCCCTACAGACACAAAAGCAAACATCTAAGACTGGGAAAGAAGAGCAGAAAAAAAGTGCAACTTTTAGTGGAACTGTATTCTGGAATCTCTAGATAATATAATTCAGTTGTGACTTAGGTATACACAAAAGTAGTTATATATAATAATTATAAAAAAATTAATCATAAACTCACCCTTCTACATGAGATACATCCTCCCAGACTTGAGGTTCCTTGAACTTATCCTTGCAGATCTATGTAAAATCGCAAACCTTTAATTATATGAAATTATGAATTCAAAATATTAAATAGAATTTATAAATTAATAACAATGAGAGCTCTAATAAATAAAGTATAAGTGAGAAAGAAAACATGAAATATCAGGGTGCATGAAAGTGGAATAGGAGGGGAAAACAGGGAACACCCTAGAGGAGTGTTAGGTCTTTTGAGGGAGATTTACTGGAGAGAAACACACCAAAGAGATATGAGTTTAACCTGCATAAGGATTGACACCACTCTTAACCCAAAACCTTAATGCATTGGATTATGGGTCATACTTCCTTATATGTTGCTCAACTTTCTCATTCTTACTCAATGTGGTACTTAACTCACACTTGAATTCCCAACAATCTCCCCCTCAAGTGTGAGTCTCTTTACATTGGTATATCCCCTCGAGCTCACTAGTGGTCTTTTCATGTACCGTCCTTCACTTACGGGACACGCTTACTTAACCCACTCTATCAGGAAGACTTTCGATATAAAGACCACTCTTACCCATTGGCGATCAACTTTCGGCTCTGATACCACTTGTTGGGTCTTTCGAGCGGGATTTACTGGGGAGAACAACATCAATGAGACATTTGTTGGGAATCTAAGTGTGAGTTAAGTACCACATTGAGTAAGAATGAGAAAGTTGAGCAACATATAAGTATGACCCATAATCCAATGTCTTAAGGTTTTGGGTTGAGAGTGATGTGAATCCTTATGTGGGTTGAGCTCATGTCTCATTGGTGTATTTCTCCCCAGTGAATCTCCCTCAAAAGACCTAACAATTGGTATCAAGAACTTAGTTTTTTTTTCATGCGAGTGGGAGTAATGGCTGAAGACGAGAAAGTGAAGATTGATAAGTTTGATGGAAGCGATTTCAAATTTTGGAAAATGCAGATTGAAGATTATCTTTATCAGAAAAAGTTGTATCAGTTTTTGTCTGAGAATAAACCAGAAACGATGTCTCAGGTAGATTGAGAGTTGTTAGATCGACAGACTTTTGACGTTATCAGATTAACATTGGTGAAAAATGTTGTCTACAACATTATCAATGAGAAGACGACATATGGTTTGATAAAAGTATTATCAAACATGTACGAGAAATCATTGGCATCAAACAAGGTATTTTTGATTCGTCAATTAGTTAATACGAAGATGCGAGAAGTTGCTAGCGTTATATATCATTAGAATGAATTTAATTCCTTATTGTCAATATTAGTGTTAGTGAATATTAAATTTGATGATGAAGTCCAAGCCCTATTATTATTATCTTCGTTACCCGATAGTTAGTCAGGAAGTGTCACGGCAGTAGCCAGTATTTGGGACTATGAAATTAACCTTTGAAGGAATTAGGGATTTAATCCTTAATGAGCATGTTCGTAGAAGGAATGCTGAAGAATCAACAAATTTTCTATTTAGCATTAAAGGAAGAGGTAGAAAGCCTGAAAAAGGGCAAGACTCTAGACTTGGTAGATCAAAGTCCAAGGAGCAAAGGCAATTCAAATCTCGCAAGGATATTACTTGTTGGAATTGTCAGCAGAACGGACACTTTAGGAATCAATGTACTGTTCCTAAAGAAAAGAGACATGACAATACAATGAATGCAACAGAAGAAGAAGACAGTGATGATGTGTTGAGAGCAAGTTTGAATTTTGGATCATGGATTCTGGTGCATCTTTCCATGCTTCTCCTTGCAAGGACTTGACAAAAAATTTCATAAATGAAAATTTTGGCAAAGTGCATCTAGCAGATGATGAAACTTTAGACATCACAGGCATGGGAGATATAAATCTTAAAACATCTACGGGTATAGTATGGACTCTTAAGGATGTCAGATATATTCCAGGACTCAAGAAAATGTTAATCTCTGTGGGTATGTTGGATGTTCAAAGATATCGAGTCATATTCGGAGAAGGCAAATGGAAGGTGGTGAATGGTAATCTAATTGTTGCTCGTGGTTGGAAGAAAGGAACCCTATATATGGCAAAATTACCTACAGAAGAAGTAAATTTAATTAATGATGATGTTGGTGATGATTTCATTCATTCTTCAACTTTGTGGCACCAAAGGCTTGGTCACATGAGCGAGAAGGGTATGAAGATATTAGTTTCAAAGGGGAAGATTCCAGAATTGGAAAAGGTAGAAGTTGGTTTCTGTGAACCATGTGTGTTTGGAAAACAGAAAAGAGTTACTTTTACAAAGTCAAGGAGGATGCCCAAGGTAGAGAAGTTAGAACTTGTTCATTCAGATGTGTATGGGCCAACATCAGTCTCATCATTGGGAGGATCACGATACTATATTACCTTCATTGATGATTCCACTAGAAAAGTATGTGTTTATTTTTTGAAGCAAAAATCAGAAGTATTTAATACCTTTAAGAAGTGGAAAACCATTGTTGAGAATGAGATAGGATTAAAAATTAAATGTTTAAAGTCTGATAATGGTGGTGAATATAGTAGTACTAAATTTGTTGATTACTGTGCTGAGAATGGAATTAGAATGCTTAAAACTATTCTTGAGACACATTAACAAAATAGTAGTGCTGAAAGAATGAACAGGACCCTGAATGAGAGGGCAAAATGTATGAGAATTCATGCAGGATTATCGAAGACATTCTGGGCAGATCGCTTTTGGGATGATCAGAACAAAAGGATCATTAGAAGCAGAGATGTTACATTTAATGAAAATGCTATGTATAAGGATAAACTTGAGACAAAAGTTGAAGCTGAAAAGAAGCCAACAAAGAAGGAAAAGGTAGTGTTAGAGGACATTACAGAAGATGATCTATCAGGAAAAGAGTGGGAGCTTAGGAGACAGGACTATTGAGGAGACTATTCCTGTCACCCCAGTAGTTGAAGTGAGGAGATCCAACAGAGTTATTAGGCCTCCTCATAGGTTTTCTCCTTCAACAAATTACAGACGATGGAGAACCGTTGTGTTATGATGAGGCATTACAAATGGATGATGCAGCTCAGTGGGGGTTAGCCATGCAAGAGAAGATGAACTCACTTGAGAAAAACAAAACTTAGTGTTTGACTGGCCTACCAACAAGAAAGAGGGCATTGCAGAACAAGTGGGTCTTCAGGATCAAGGAAGAATATGATGACAACAAGAGATACAAGGCAAAGTTCGTGGTGAAAGGCTTTCAACAGAAAAGAGGTATGGACTATAATGAGATTTTTTATCCTGTAGTTAAAATGACTACTATTAGACTTGTGTTGAGTATTGTGACTACTAAGGATTTATATCTAGAGCAATTAGATGTTAAGACAACATTCTTACATGGTGATCTTGATGAGGACATCTACATGATGCAACTAGAGGGTTTTCAAGTTGTAAAGAAAGAGAACTTGGTTTGCAAGTTGACCAAAATTGGTGTCAATCCTTATATGGGTTGGACTCATGTCTCATTGATGTTGTTCTCCCCAATAAATCCCCCTCCGAAGACCCAACAAGGAGCACCATGTCAAAACTAAAGGAATTTCAAGAAGAGGGAAAGGAAATGATAAGTGATGAACATGTTAATAACAAACTGGACAGGTGGTGGTGGTCCACAGATGGAAAGGAAGATTCAGCATGCTTGAGGAAAGAAGAAGGAATGATACAGTTGAAGGGTCCAAGAGTATCTGGTCCAGATTTTGTCGTCCGTTTTCATTCTTATTCTATTGCTTCTCAAATTCTGATCTACTATCAGAATCCTGACACAGGAGATAAGATAGAGTCCCCTGCCTGTAAGGAATTCAACTCCACTTTTTCTCTTAAATTACCAGGGATGTAACATGATAATAAAACAGAAATATGGGTAAGAAGAGAACCTGTAGTCCAGGAACGCCATCAGTCATTAGGAGAGTGACCATGCCATAATCAGAATGAGGAGAGGCACCATATATCTGTTCATCAGAGCCCAATTCGCCTAATGAAACAAGACATATCACCACAAATAAAAGGTTAGTAAAATTGCTGCCACAATTTCAGTTTGTTGCTCAATTCTAGCCACAACTTAGCAACTAGTGGAGGGAGTATTTTCAAAATACACAAGCATATTACGAACACCATACATTCCATTAAAAATATTACATTAATTCAAAATGGCATATGGACTACTGCTAAATCTGTGCGCATTGTAGTTCAGGCCACAAAATCAATACTCGAAAATAAAGAAATTATGTTCCTTTGAAAACTTCAATTGCAGTAACTAAGATAAAGTTGAAGTCAACTTGGAAGATAAAATTTGAAATGTGCTAACAAGTAGAGGCTTAAATTTGTTGGAAAGGTTGTGCATTGTAGTTCATGCTAAACCTGGATAGTGTAGAAGGCGGAGAAAAACTGCTGGTTTGTTTAAGGCACCTATCTTCCCAAAGTAATCTTCATCCAGATTTAAGGACATGGCAATCAGAGACAACAGGTCTTTTCCAGCAGACCTGGGACAGATAAGAAGAATATGTAAATTCTACATTATACAATAGATAGAATAAAAAACAACTTGCATATGAATGCTCAGGCTAGCCACATACAACACACAAGCACAGGAACTCTCAATGAAAAGATGCAGTAGTAAAATTCTAAATAAATACAATAGCCACAAACCCCTCATGTCTATAAATCAGTTAAATTTAAGAAGAAATCAATCTGTTATTGACACTGTTTTGAACAAAACCTATAAAAACAACAAATGTTGGACTTGTATATTTGTCAGTAAATAACAACTAACAATATATATTTAATAACATGGAATAATACATTTGAAGAGCTAATTAAACTCACAGTAGTTTCCAAGATAAAGATTCCATTGTAGATTTCCAGTTTGGCAACAATTCTGGAGTGTCCTTGCCAGAAAAAAATATCAACTTAGGCTCTTGTGAAAATAAAGAGTGTTCACAAATTAGAATACAGTGTTCATTCCTAATTAATTGAATGCAAAGAAACGCCATACCTTCAGAAGGCCATTGATTCAGATGAACAATAGAGGTATCTTCTACAGAACCAATATAATAGCTCTCTTTTGAATCACCTGTTGGCAAGGACATATACAGTTTTCTTTCATTGATATGCCTTGGAGGAAACATGTTTGGTTAGACATTTCCAAAATTAATTTTGCTTAAAATTGATTTTGAAGTAATGTATTTGATATTTGAACGGATTTATTCTAAAACAAGTTTTTTTTTATGCAAAATCTATCTAAATTTAATTCGAGTCGAGATAAATTTTAGATTCAAAATCATTTTTTTCCACGTTAAGTCAAACATTAGTAAGATGACTCAAAATCAAACCGTTATAAAAATATTGTCTTACGTTATTATTGATGATCTCATGTGTTAGATGGTAGGCTCTCTACTAAACTCTCTACTATGCTCTCTACTACAACATTGTGATATTTGTTTTTAAGTCATTTTCTTGTTTCAAAAAGAAGTGAGTTTCACTTTTTTTATTCTGCATTGTTTTGAACCCAACATATTTCACAATGACATTGACTCCAAACATTTACAATGACATAGAATGAATATTTAGTTTCTTATGAGCACAATATTCCCTTTAGATATTTTCTTCGAACAAGCAAGAGGAAGAATGAATACCTTTGGAGAGTGAAGTAGGATGAAGAGTTTCAGCATATAGAGGAGTGTAGCCTCTATATTCCTTGCGGGCTAAGTTCATTTTGTGTTGAAGCGGAAGTGAGAAGAATTGGGCACTTTGTTGGAACACTGTCCTCAAAAGCTCGGTGTCCACCCCATGGTTCACAAGGTAGAAGAAACCATACTCCACACATGCCTGACATAACAATTTTGTATTTGTGAGAAATAAAAGCAGATAGAAGAGAAGGGAAGGGTATGAGTTCAAAACCTGACGGATGGAATTGGCGGTGGAAAGACGGTGGGGCGAAGAGAGGTCTATGATTGGAAGACTCAGCATAGCAGCCATTTTCGCTTCAACTCAATCAATCTTGTGCCTACACCTTCGCTTTCTTCACGCTAAATATCTTGCAATGTTGGTAAACACTGCTACTCATGTCATCTATGCAAAATTGGAAATGGACAAACCAAAAACAAATCTTTTCTTCTCATTATCCTCTTGATCATGTAATTGACACATTATTATATATATATATATATATATATATATATATATATATATTATTTTTATCATTGGCTATTTTAAAATACAACAAGATCACATGTAATCTCATATATCATTGTCACTCATTTACACATACCTGCCACAATCACCTAGTCAAACAAATATAATTTATAATAAATTTCAATCAATAATACACAAAGTACCATAAAAACATAGGGTTACTTTAACCTTATGTTTTATTTGTTATTTCATTTCTTTTGTGTTTAATTTTTTTAACTGGATAACATATGACCATGCGGAATCTAGCCTGCACTCATGGTTGAGTAACAATTTCAGTGATTATTATTTAACAATAGAATAATAGCAGGAGCATCTATTTAAACTCTTTTAAATTTTGATAAATAAATTATATACTTTTGTCGAATAATATGATTTTTCTAAAAGAATTAACAAAATTGGCTACTCAATATAATTCCAAGCCCGTCAGTAATTAAACAATACTTATTTAATTTCTTTTAAATATTTTATTTAAGTTTACCTTTACTACGTATACTCCCATTCAAATAAAATATATATAGTCCTAAAATAAGAAAAAGTCATTGATTATTGTATTATTTCAGTGAAATGACTATATATATATATATATATATATATATAAAGACAAATTTCTTCTAGCACCTTTTATTTTAATTTTGCTTCGGGCTGATCCAACAAAAGGCCCAATGATAAATGAAAAAAAGTGTAGAAGTTTACAAAATACAAAGTAGTTTACAAGTCACAAAATTCTTATATTTTAATCAAACCTAATTAGAAATAATGGTTGGATGTCAACACATTGCATTAAGATAAAGCTGCCAAATTGTTCAGTAACAAAGATAAGGTACACCTAAAACTGAAAGTCAGTTTTTTTTTTTTTTTAAACAAACAGTTTTTCTTAGGTAGATCCAAGGTTACATTTAACATAATTAAATAAACAATAACTAAATTAATGTTTTTTTCAATGAGAAAAAAAAAACTATTTTTCAATTTCAAGCACTGCAGTAAAAAAAAAAAACTAACATTAACTTTAAGATCCAGAAATTCTTCTATAAACATTTTAAGATATAAAAAATACTCTTTTTCATAAATTAAAGTTGGCTTATGTATTAATTAATTTTAGTCTTCTTTGTTTTCTTATAAAAGTTAATCTAAACATACTTCTAATATTTTCATGTATCCTTAAAAAAAAATGTTAATGATTTTTATTAGGAATAGGGTTGATAGCATTAAGTTTATTTATATTATTTTATAATTATTTTAAAAAATAACATATGAAAAAAATGTAATAATAATAATAATAACTAAAAGCGTGTTTTATAATTAGAAATTAATGTGTCATGAAAATGTTGTATGGAGGTAACACCTACCATTATAGCATGTTTTTTTGCCTATATGTCTAAGTAACAATGCTCCTCACTTCTCTCAATAAAGTAAACTCAAACCTTAAAGTCAATATTGCAAAATTTCATCATTTTATTAACTTTTCGTGTTGTCTTTTTATTTCTACCATTAAATAAAAATAATTATATTTTTTATAAATGTATTATTTTAACTAAAATAATAAATATAATTTGTTAATTATTTATTTTATTTTGAGAATAAATAAAAATTATATAATTAAAAAATATAAAAATTATTTTTTATAGATGTTTTAAAAAGTAAATAAAATTAAAAAATATTTTATACAAAAATAATATAAATTATCTTCCAAATTAATTTTTATAAAAATAATTTTAATTTATAAATATTATTTTATTTTTAAATATTTATCTTTAATACTATATTATAAAAATACAAATAAAAATTAAATACAAAATACAAAATAACAGTAATTAAAAACTATAAAAAAATAAAATTGATCTTCATCACGTGGTGTACGAATAGACCACACCTTCGAAGTTTCTAATGGTCGTGCCGACACATCAGCTTTTTATTTTTTAATTTAACAAAATAAAAACAATTTTTTTTAATAAAACAAATTGTATTTTTTTCTAGATAAACTGTTTTTTTTTTTTTACATTTTTGTCTTAAAATTTAATTTTCTTAAAAAAAATATTTCAATGCCCATTTCAAAACAGTCTCCACATAAGATTTGAAAAAGGTATCTATCTATTTATTTATTTATTTATCATGATAAAGGATATAACAATTATTTATATAATAATTATTTTAAATATAATAAAATTATATAATTATTTCAAGTAATCATTTTAAGTAACATTTTAATTTTTTATTTTAATTTTTATATTGTATTGTTAAATAATATAACTGTTCTTCACTTAATATACTCAAAATAATATTTTTAAAATCTGATTTTTCCTTTTACCCTTTCCTATCTTTACTTAATATAATCAAAATAATTTTTATAATTTTGATGATATAATAAGAAAATAAATATGTACAAAAACAGTTAATAATATTCTTTATATGCTGTTAAAATAATAGAATTATTTTAAATAATTATTTAAAATAACCACTATTATCTTCTTTTTATTATTTTTGTTTTTTCTCAAAATAAAATTTTACAATTTATTTTTAAAATAGCAATTACATATAAGTGTTTGTCTTATAAGGATCCAACTTCCAAATTAAAAAATATTATGTATAAATATAAACATATGCAAGTTTTTTAATCTGAAAATTTTAATAATTAATTTAATCTGGCACTTAAATTATTAAGTTAAAAATTTAAATATTATAATTATAATGTTATTTATTTATTGAGACAACAATAAAATTTGTATGTTTATTAAATATATTTTATGCTAAACAAAATTTTCATATTATTAGTCAATCCATAATATTAATATAACTTAATATTGAAATAATTAGTATAATTACACATATAATATCATTTACATTATATATATATATATATATATATATATATATATATATATATATTATCATCAATATTTGTATTTAAAACTGAAAAAAAAATTGAAATTATATTTGTATATATTTTAATGTCACATCTATTTTAATTTATATGACATCTAATAGTTTTAAATTAATATAAAGTAATATAAATATAACCCCTGTGAAAAAAAAACTTTTAATCTAATAATATTTAATAAAATATTTAATAATATTAATATATATATATATATATATATATATATATACTGATATAATTTAATTTATATTAAAATAAATAAGCATTTTGTACAATAATTAAAGCATCTCCACTTTAAAACTTGGTTAAATCCAAAAATTCTAACTTATGTTAAAAAAAAAAAAAAATACCGATAGTATGATAAAAAGATATGAATGTAATCTTACTGGAAACTACTGAAATGAGAAATGAAAAAAGTCATAAAGCCAAGCCATTAGGTAGGGTTTTTCATTCAAAATTATTGGTCAAACATGTCATTGGGTAGAGGTTTGTAAATGTTAACATAATTAAACACACGTCGTTACCTTAAAATTAGAAGTCATGACTTCACATTAATCACATACCCACTCGTTTGCACAAAACACCAAAACCCTACGTCATATTAAACTTTATCAAATACACATAAGTTGTTCAGGGAAGCAAATATTTCTTAAATACTCATGTTAATCAAAATGTTCTTAGAATATGTTTTAATAAACTTTTTTTCATCGTATAATAAAAAGAAAACAAAAACGAAAGGAGTTCTATCTATAAGTTAATTAACTTACCTAGTAATTGAAATAAAAATAAAAATTTAAAAGACTTATACGAAGAAACTTTTATAAATTAATTTATATATAAATTAATTTTAACTTGTACAATAAAATATTTCTTTTTTTTTATATTTTTAATTAAACATATTTTGTTTTAAGAAATAGAAAAAATACGAGTTTTTTAAATGGTAATATATATCTTCACAATATATTTATTATTATTATTATTATCATTATTATCATAAATGTTATTTATGTTTTTCATATTTAATCTTTTTTGGGAGTGAGTTCAAAGTTTTTTTATTTAAAAAATAAATAAAATCAAAGATCAGAAGGAACATATGTAATTTTTATTTCAGTTATTCCTTGTCTTAACTTTATTTTTATATTTAAATTTAAATTCTACAATTTTAATATTTTAAAAATATTTTATTTTTTCTTATATCATATATAAAATTATTTTTTATATTTTATTTTTCTTTTTTTATTTTCTAAATTTTTTAGATTAATCAGTTTATTAAATTTTTTTTCTTATTTTTTATTCTTTAAATTTTTATAATCTCTTTCATCAATTTAATTTTTTCAATTAATTTAAAATTATAAAAAATGTTTTTTTATTTTTCTAATATCCTATATTAATATTAATAATAACTAATATTATTTTATTTTTAATTTATTTTTTATTAAATTTGTTATTATGTTATATTTTTAAAATTTTATTATTGTTATGTATTATATATCAATTTGTTTAATAAATTAATTACATTTTGAAGAATTAAAAAAATTAATAATTAAAATTTTATTATTTAAAATTTATTAAAGAAGAATTAATTTATTTAATATTTTTTCATAAATTATATATTTTATATTTATAAATATTTTAAAATATAACTTAAAGATAATTAAGTTATATGTAATAAAATGTTAAATACTGTATTATAATATATAAATATTTTATATTCATATAAAAATATTAAATATTTATTTTTTAATATAAATATAATAAATTAAATTTTATATTTAATTAATAATAATTACTATTATTATTATTATAAATTATAAATATTTATATTTTATAATAATATATTAAAAATATTAAAATTAATTTATTATAAATATAATTTTAAAAAATATATGGAACGACAAATAAAAAACGA